TTTTATTACGGTTGCCGCGGCAAGTATTTATGTTGTTGGGCTCCTCCATCGTATAAGTGTTATTATGATCAGCAGAACACCGCACCGGGGTGCCCGAGTTATCACGTTTAGGTAAGCTAGCAACACACAAAGGGCAAGTCCATTTCAGCTTCATTTCATCCGAGTATTCGTGAAAAGTCTTCAGCGTTATGGTAAGGCATTCTAGATCGTATAGTTGTTTACAACCATTACACTCCATGTAATCCAGACTCAGAATTGGCTTTGAACAAGCGTTACAAGTTGTAGACATTTTATGATGATACGTAAAATTCGCTTTAAAGAGTTAGGTGCTTTGTTTCCAGGAATATTACCATTCGTAGTTATATTATTAGTATGGCAACACTTTTGTATACTTCAAAATGGAAAATGCAGATGTCAAATGAGTTTGGCAGTTGTCAAAGTCAATTTTCCTGCTGTCACTTGAGTCTGACGTGCGGTAAGTTAGTGGTGATGAAGGTAAACAGAATATGTCGAAACTGGAGGTAAAAGAAAACCCACTTATCTTGATTATGTGTTATTTTCGCAGCTGTGGCTAGTTACAGATAACGATGGTGTAGCTTCTGGATGATATGAGGATCCCTGCACAATCACTCCTAGGCCGAAAACTAAGCTTGCTCAATAATTAAACAGTGATTTCTTAACGGAGGTTTGTATTGTCCGACGAATGCGTTCCGTTCCTGTTCCTTAATCCGTTCCTTAAGTTTCGTCAAGTCCGTCTCTAGTCCGTAGTCCGTATATATATATATATATATATATATATGTGTGTATGTGTGTGCAATATATACATGTATGTACATGTACATATTTCATATACTAGCTATAAGAGAAAGAGAGATAGAAAATGTACGCGCGCACTGCTTTCTCTTGCTTATATCCCCCACTCAACTCCCGTTCGCCTCGCCTGAACACACTTTTCGTAACGCGTAATTTTTGCCAGCTTACCCCCCAAGTCAAGCCTGCGGAAAGAAGATTAAGAAATAAATGATTTGATTGATTAAAAAAAAATGGGTGCGTGTACTTATGTAGGCGCGTGAGAAGTTATCCTTCTTTGGCATCGTTTAAAATTAGTTTTTAATTGCATGCAAATAATTAATTACAATAAATTAATAAAAAGTCTGGAAAAGGACACAGTCAATAAAGTTCAGTTTTAATTTGAAAAAATAAATAATTAATCAAAATATTCAATTAAAATCGCTACTGAATATAATTTATTAGAACATTATGTGATTTGCACTTGTATGAAACTCAAACACGTATTCCGAATATACAAACTAGAAACATGTGGATAAATATTATAAATATGAATACCTATAACTGTTACTTTATTACAAAAAGGTCAAGAGATGGCGCTGTAGTCTCCTGAATCGCGCTTTGGTTCCGTTGTTCCAGATTAATAAATACTTTTTGTTACTTTATTACAAAAAATAAAGATGTGGTTTTTGGTTCTACTACACCAATGGTCAAGAGATGGCGCTGTAGTCTCCTGAATCGAATCGCGCTTTGGTTCCGTTGTTCCAGATTAATAAATACTTTTGATAGGCCTTCACAATGCAGTCGTTAGCACCCACAAAATAGAGATTCTATTTCTATTTTGTTGGTAGATTTTCTTAATGTGCGGTAAACACAAAAGTAACAGCATGAAGTTGGTCGCTTTAGCGACCAACTTCGCTTTAGCGACCAACTTCATGCTGTTAATTTTTTGTGTTACAGTGATGCGCGTGCATCTTAAAATTTCACTCTCATCATTTTTTCATAACGCGCCTAAAGAAGTATAACTTCAAAAATTGTCGTCATCCTTATTATAATGGGACACGTTGTTTTCTTCATCGAAAAATAATAACATTCTAAATCCGCCATGTGTTACCAAACGTCATTTTATAACTCCATACAAAAACTATACCTTAATATTATTCATATCACCAATCACTAGATTGATTTAAGGATATTGCCTTAATCATGGCAACTATAATACAAGGATATACTCTACCGAAACACATTCACGCAACTTAATATCGACTTAACCGAATACCTAGTAAATTACTATTATTATTAACTTAGAACTACAACCGGAACCAAAGTCCAGAGGGGCGACACGACGCGACGTGACTTTAGCTTAAGTTACACTGACATTGGAGTAAGACTAATCAGTGCATATTGAAGTTTAGAACTTTTACTTAAATTAGAGTTTCAAGCTTCCGATATGTATTTATAGGATTTGTGTGAATGGTGTAAATGGACACAGAGAGATGAGACCGAAGAAGGAGAGAGGTGTAAATGGAAAAATCATATCGAAAATATGACCCGTTATAATTTTTTTCTAATTATATTTTCTTTAAATATGACCCGGTATATATATATATACACACATATATATATATATATATACATGTGTGTGAATGTGTGAGACGCATTCCCGTTTAATTTTTTCCATAGGATTTGGGGTACGCAGCTCTTCCCGACGACCATGAAAGTTGGAGGGTAATCCAGCGAAGTCCTCGCGACTTCGCCGAGTTACCATTCAACGTGTCACGAGCGTCACACGCGACAATATATACATAATATGTATATAATATGTATACATATATCATATGTATATATATATATATATGAGTGATGCGTGCGCTGCTCCATTCCCCTGTGCCTTATGCACCGCCTAGTTACGTTATTTAAGAAAAGAAATTTCACTTCAGATGTGTGTACACAATCTTTTTATTATTTCTGGAGGATGAATAGAGAAGGTTTTTATAAATTAATAACAAAACATGACTTGTTCTTGTTATATATAGATTGTCATCTTTGAACTTTTGTGATGATTTTTCTTGGTGTGAAGTGTGCGATGAGATTGCCATTACTCAATAAAGTGTTCGGCCACGTACACAATTCGAGGTTCTGGATTTAAATCCCGATAGGAGCAAAGTTTGAATGGTGAATACGAGCATTTGTCCTCGAGTCATAGGAGTTAATGAAGCTAGGCTAATTGTGTAAGTAAATGTATTATTATTATTTTTTTACCTGAAAAAAGAAAGCAAGTTTTCACGCTGTTATCGAAACTTCGTCTGCCGCTGTCCGGGCGGATGCACTATCTGCTATGCTCGAATAGGGGTGATGACGGGGTACAGTAAACGAAATTCTATTTAGTCCGTCAGTTAGATGATCAATAAATAATGGACACGTATTTTTTCTTTGGGCAATCAACCAAAAAATGACGAGTTATAGCGCGTCAAAGTTTGGGAGTAGGGGCTCGTGACGTCACTTTTGAGTGAATTTTCACTTATAAGTGTACTCAAACGTGACGTCATGCAACTTTTCAAATCAATATATCTCTGCAATGCTTATATTATGTGAAAAAAGAAAAAATACGTGTCCAATACTTTTTTATAATCTACTCGATAAACGAAGAAAAAAAAAATTAGTCATCATCCTTATTGTGTAAGTAAGCGTATTAATATATTTTTTTACCTGAAAAAATCAAGTTGTCTCGCAGTTATTGAAACTTCGTCTGCCGCAGTCCGGGCGGATGCACTATCTGCTATGCTCGAATTCTATATCTAAAGAAAAACTTTATAAGAAAATTGTCTGCTGCTGTAACTTGATCAGTACTGCAATTCTTTAGGAACAAACTTTGACTTTCATAAGCGTGCAAATTGTATCTAAATGAATAAAGAAATTTTGACTTTGACTTTGAAACTCATTTTTCAATGGAATCCGCGGTGCGGAACACGTGCACTCCTCTGTGAAAACTGAGTTTGGTCTTACAGAATAGCACGGCGGTTAAAAAAAAAATAAAGTCAACCAAAATGGTAGTTCATTTTAGTAGGATTAATATTTCTCAATTATTTTTTTTTAAGGTTACGTGAAGAACATCACAGACAAAAGAAGGAATTTATTATTGATGGGAAACATTACTTATTAACTTTATAATTATTTTGCTTTGATAAATTCTTAACGTATAAAATACAAAATGTTTAATAATATTACTAGCGCAAAGTTTACAATGGTGAAACTTAAATTCAACTTACGTTATTGTAAAATGATTGAAATCGAAAAATGAACTTCGCAGCATTTATTTATTGAAGTTTTGCGCCGTCGGAATAATTATATTAATAAATAAAATCAGTGTATCTAACATGTGCGTGAAAACATAAGAAACAAATTAAATATAATTTCTGTTATTTGTATTTTTGTTTTTGACACATCATCATCATCATTAGCCTATTAATGTCCCCAATGCTGGGGCACAGGCCTTCCCTATGGATGGATTAGGGAGATTGGACCATGACCCACGACGCGGGCCCAGTGCGGGTTGGTGGGTGCTAACGAACTGCAGATGCAGCGGGGAACAACGGCTTAACCTGCCTTCCCAAGCACGGAGGAGCTCGAGATAGTAAATTTTTGGTCACCCATCCAATGACCGACCACTGCGAAAGTTGCTCAACTTCAACGACCGCAGCCGAACGCGCTTACCATTGGCGCCATCGAGCTCCTCCTTTTTGTCACGTCAGCTACCAATTAATTAATTTAAAAATTAGAAAATAATGAGCATGTTTTTAGGTTTATTTATTTAGATTTTTAAGTGTAAGTGTTACCAAAAATTTATAAAACTGAAAAAGCAACTTCAATTGACTGAAAAAAGAACATTTTTTCCAGGTTTCAGCTTGAATAATGAACGGTACGTCGAATTCTCATTAAAATTGCGTAATGAACACAAATATTTACAAGTTTCAACAAGGTGTGTCGTAACCCCATTATCTAATATCTCAAGGATAAACGGTGTTAACAATGGATACCTTCTAAGTGTACATCGACCTAAAATACTGTTTCCTTCAAAGTTTATACATATTCAATTAAATTTCAACTTCATATGCTCATACTCCGTGGTCAACGATTTCCGCATTACTGATTTACTGTCGAAATTGTAATGCTCGAATAACCCCTCACTCCGCCTGACCTAGAGCATGATACTGTCTCGTACTTCCTATTAATATTGGAATGATTGTGCAGGACCCATATAAAAGAACAGCCAACACCAGGATTTAACATTCGCTGTTCACAGTGCAACAAAAACAAACGTATCGAAATGGCAGCTAAGGTAAATGCCCTTTGTGTTCAGTGCTAGGTATTACTTAGAAGTGATTCATGAACAGTGTTCAGTGGAAAATAAAAAACGGATTTCTATGGTGCAAAATATTATGTTTTGTTCAGTTAACAAACAATTCAACATAGCGTCTTTCGGTTTAGATGATGGGATGTCTCAGTTTTGGGTTTGAATTCAATAAAATTTCATTATGAATTTAGATAAATTATTTCTGTTGCAGTTCGTGATTGTCGCTATGCTGGTGGCCGCAGCGCACGGCAGCGCGCTGCACGGCGCCGACTACACCAGCTTCTCGTACGGCGTGTCGGACCCCCACACCGGCGACGTTAAGAGCCAGCACGAGACCCGCGTCGGAGACAGCGTGGTGGGCCAGTACTCCCTGCTCGACTCTGACGGCACAAAGCGTACTGTCGACTACGCCGCCGACGCCCACTCCGGCTTCAACGCCATCGTCCGCAAGGACCCCGCCTTCATCGGACACGCCGCTCCCGTGGTCGCTCACGCCGCCCCCGTCGCGTACGCCGCTCACGCCGCCCCCGTGGCGTACGCCGCTCACGCCGCTCACGCCGCCCCCGTGGCGTATGCCGCTCACGTCTCCCCCGCTCACTCCTCCGTGTCTGCGTACTCAACCTCCCTCGCTCACGGCGGTTACGCCGCCGCCCCTGTGGCCGCCTACGCCGCTCCCCTCGCGCACGGTGTTGGCTACGCCGGACTCGGTGCTCACGGTCACGGTGTCTATGGCTCTCCCCTTGGATACCACTACTAGATAATTTATTGTGTACCTGTGTAGATATGTAAATGATTGTGACCCTGTCTGTAATGACGAACATACTGTGATGAAATAAATACTCTTATTGGTGACTCCAAAATAATATTTTATTTCTTACCATGTTTCTAAAGAAAGAGTTTCTCAGTTCATCGGTACATTTGTGTTCCAGTAATGATAGATAAATTTATGTTTATTGTAAACCTCTGTCGAGAGACTTTTTCATTATTTAATTGAACCTCGTAAAATACACTTTAATAAATTAGGTAGTTGGAATGCCAAATATCTTATCTTTGTTACCTTAGTTTTAAATTATTGCCTCACAGCATAGAACTAATATTGTTCAATTACTCATACATGAATTGCATTACTCGCTCGATTGATTAAAAAACAATAAAGCATTGTGATACAATGATTTATATTAAATTGCTATTACTTAATTGACAACATTAAATTTAATAACAGAGACCTTGTTTATTCAAAGGCAATTCAAAAGTTAATTACATGCAATATTATTAAACTAAATTCTTTAAATCTAAAGAAAATATAACTAGAAAAAATTCCACGCGGACCAGGCAGCAGACGGGACAGCCTGGTCCGCGTGTAATTTTTTCTAGTTATATTTTCTTTAGATTTAAACATCAAGCAGTTACATGCTTTAAAATATCAAAAATTATAATTTTTTTGAGTTATAAAATCTGAATAGATTGTCACTTTCGGGAATTAAAAAATAACTGTGCCACGTATTAATATACGAGGAATAAGCGTATACTAGTTACGCCATGTTTTTGTTCAGAGTACTCAAATGCCATTTTTAATTTAATGAACAGAAACAAAACATGACGTTACTAATCCAATCTTATGCTTCGTAAGTTTATATCAAATTGTAAAATAAATTTAAAAAACATGAATCTTAAAAAATGGAAATTATTTAGAATAACCTGCAACCAATGAATTCAAATTAAAGATTGTAAAGTAATGGACGGTGGTCTAAACCATCGTTGGTTTCAAATATTACCTCAACTAGTTTTCTAAAATATATATAACTAGCTGACTCGGCGAACTTCGTACCGCCCAAAAGTAATAATTTGCAATAAATTAAAATTGCGACTATAATTTGAGATTTAAACTATCCTATCTCTCAAGTTGGATCGAACTGCACATGGTGTGCGAATTTTATTATAATCCGTTCAGTGGTTTAGGAGTCCATTGAGGACAAACATTGTGACACGAGATTTATATATATTAAGATTATCAATGTTCTTATATAATTCGTAACATAAGTGTTCTATAATAAGTTCCACGAGCATGGTTAGCTTGCTTTCTTGGAAGGACTATAAATACTTACGTAGTTGAGACCAGTAGCCACTTGACTTACCCAACTCTATAGCCATTGATAAGAAATAATACAATTAAAAAAAAATGCTTTTCTTTTATTTCATCATCAACCTATAAATGCCCCGCCTGCTGGGGCACAAACCTTCCCTATGGATGGAATAGGGAGATTGGGCCATGACCCACCACGCGGGCCCAGTGTGGATCGGCGGGTGCTAACCACTGCAGATGCAACCGGGACCAACGGCTTTACGTGCCTTCCGAAGCACGGAGGAACTCGAGATAGAAGATTTTTGGTCACCCATCCAATGGCCGACCACTGCGAAAATTGCTTAACTTCAATGATAGCAGCCAAACACGCTAACCACCTACGCCATCGAGCTCCTCATATCTTTTATTGGAATAAACTTAATATTGTAAAGTCAGTCAAGTCAATTCTTTTCACTCGAAATTTAGTAAGCACTTGTTTTCACCCGCGACTTTGTCGATATGCGATAATTTGTTCTACAAACAAACATAGGTTCTAGTTTTTACGGGTTAATGCACGAAACTTTATTTATTTATTGACGTTTCGCAGCCTTTACAGGCTACGTCGTCAGAATCAAACTTTTATTTAATTTGTCAAGCTACCTTCGAAAGACTTTTATTGTGCGTTCGAACGCTCATTAACCCGTTTCGTGCATTAACCCGTAAAAACTAGTTTTATTTAATGAGTGATGTGCGTGAAAACCTAAGAAACAAACATAGGTTCTTTATTTGATCCTTTTTAAGATATATCTACGTGACCGAATGAAACCTAAGTTCTGCATCAAAGTCCCCTTTATGCCCATATCATTGACCAAACTCATAGTAGCATCTAAAAGGAAAACAGAGTTACTTTCGTCATTAAATTATGTATTTATGGATAAAATTTCAAAATACCTGTCTACATTAATTCCCAACTCCAAGACGTCAATTAACTTTACAGTTTAATAGAAGGCCGGATAGTGGAGGGTGCTGAAATAGTGTGAAATTGAATTTAGTAAAAAATGGGTGCCTGTACTTATGTAGGCCCGTGAGAAGTTATCCTTCTTTGGCATCGTTTAAAATTAGTTTTTAATTGCATGCAAATAATTAATTACAATAAATTAATAAAAAGTCTGGAAAAGGACACAGTCAATAAAGTTCAGTTTTAATTTGAAAAAATAAATAAATAATCATAATATTCAATTAAAATCGCTACTGAATATAATTTATTAGAACATATGTGATTTGCACTTGTATGAAACTCAAACACGTATTCCGAATATAAAAACTAGAAACATGTGGATAAATATTATAAATATGGATACCTATAACTGTTACTTTATTACAAAAAATAAAGATGTGGTTTTTGGTTCTACTACACCAATGGTCAAGAGATGGCGCTGTAGTCTCCTGAATCGCGCTTTGGTTCCGTTGTTCCAGATTAATAAATACTTTTTGTTACTTTATTACAAAAAATAAAGATGTGGTTTTTGGTTCTAATACACCAATGGTCAAGAGATGGCGCTGTAGTCTCCTGAATCGCGCTTTGGTTCCGTTGTTCCAGATTAATAAATACTTTTGATAGGCCTTCACAATGCAGTCGTTGTCACCCACTAAATAGAGATTCTATTTCTATTTTGTTGGTAGATGTTCTTAATGTGCGGTAAACACAAAAGTAATAGCATGAAGTTGGTCGCTTTAGCGACCTTTACTTTTGTGTTCAGTGTCGCTTTAGTGACCATCTTCATGCTGTTACTTTTGTGTTTACCGCACATTAAGAACATCTACCAACAAAATCATTTTTTCATAACGCGCCTAAAGAAGTATAACTTCAAAAAAATCTTCAGATCTAAACGTCTAGCAGCAGATTCAAGCAAAAATTTGAAGAATCTGACGACCTTCGTGGCACTTGTGGAATGTACGTCGGGTTTCAAGATATATTCCATGATGACACAACTCACAGTGCATACTTTAGGGCTAGGCTGATAAAATAATACTACCTAGATTGCTGTAACCTAACCCATCCCAAGGAGGGGGGACCGGTGCTCTGAAATACAAGCTCGGCTTAGTTCAGACACCGATCTCTCATGACATCAGGTATGCACTGGTACTCATACTACGATTGTTAAATGTCTATCCATCCATATGCCTATAAAAATGTAATTAGTTATTTAAAAAATAAATGTTGTCGATGCCAAAATGTTGTGACGAGAAATAAACGATTTATTATTATTATTACCTATTGGTGGTGTTGTGCTTCTGACGGTGATTAAGGTACCAGGGTTCCATGGTCCAGGAGATTGGTGTCGTGTGAGGCGGGTCGTTACGTTCCCTAAAATATGGTTGAGCGAAGCGATGGCTGGTTCATGCGTCATGCTCGTGAACGGGTGCTGCCAGCGGAGATGAGTCTGCCCTGACTTCCTTAATATTGAGGTTAATGTTTAGTCACACTTAATATAAATAACACTGTTTGTATTTATACTGTATGACACAGCAATCAAAATGCAGGTAAACAATTAATGTATATTTAATAATTACGTAATGAAAGGTGACTTCATAAATCATCTCTGAAGTCATTTTTCAATTTGACGACTCTGTAAATAATAAAACAGGGAGAAAAAAACAGCCCTTGCTAAGTTTCTTGCCGGTTCTTCTCAGTACAAGGTCTCCCGCCGTAGATTTACGAACCGATGGCGTAGCTTCTAGATATTCATTAGTGCTTGTAACAGCCTAAACTGAATAAATGATTTTGATTATGATTATGATTATTGGGTTAGAGTACGCAATGACGCGAGTACTATTTTTAGTACTGCAATTGTCTATTGACTATGGTCGCTTACCATCAGGCGCGCTATACATTTATTTGCCAACCTTTTAAAATAAAAAGGACTAATTGGCTTATGGCAAAATCTGTGGCCGTTTTAAATGATATCAAAAGACCTAGAAACCGCAAGAAATCAATTACGGCAAAAGATAAGAATTCGCATGACACTTCACGAATCGATACCTACACCGCATAAATGCACTTAAATCGTACACTGACACAAATCGCCTTGGCAAGGCCAATAGGAGAAAGCTTTAATTTGTTTGTCATAGATTTGTGTCTCATTTTTCTCATCCTGCTAAGCTCTTCAAAAACAATGTAGTTAGGTTGTTAACCATTTTCAAGTTAGTTCAGAGACTTGTAAATGAACAATTGGGATGATGCGGGGAATAACATTGGAAAACTTTAAAGCATTCCTATAGTTTTTAGGCCAAACACGTCTAGACTTTTGAGGAATGCGACTCATGTCCGAGTGTTTCATGGCGTCGCCTACTCGGAGGTCCCGGGTCCAACTCCCGGTGGGAGCAAATGTTAGTACGACGAATACAAGCATTTGTACTTTAGTAATGGACGTTTATATATATTTTCGGATAAAATATGCGTACACATGTATCAGTATACATAAGTATTTTATCCGTGAAATAATACAAGCCTTACGTATTTACTTTGGAGCTATTCTTATTGGTGTGAATGTAGGAAATATTTATTATTGTCTCATAGTTTTCAAAGGCTTATACACACATGAAGAAGCAAGATGCAGGCCGGCAGGGTGAGGATGGCTGGTGTGGCAGGTAGAACTGTATCAGCTATCTTCGCATCTGGACTTCACCTTCACTTTTCATCAGGTGGGGTGACGTCATTTGTCGGACCTATCTATGAAAAAAAGCTCAGACAAGTTTCAACCAGTCCATTTACCTTTTTAATCCAAATGACAAGGTACATGGATGATTAAGGTTTAAAACAAGATCAAATTAGGGATTTAAGTAGATAGTTTTTATTTCATTTCATCACAGCATTTAGTCATCTTTGGACTTCAGTCATATTTTACCACAGTTTTCTTAATACAGAAATTATAATTTGTCTAGTAGTATTTGGCGTATCCGAGGGGAGAGCCGTAGAGACTGTGAGCACCGAGTCCAGCATAGGATACACCGTGAGCGAGGGGAGCGGCGTAGGCGGCCACTGGGGCGGCGGCGTAACCGCCGTGAGCGAGGGAGGTGGAGTACGCAGACACGGAGGAGACAGCGGGGGCGGCGTGTGCGGCGTACGCGGCGACGGGAGCGGCGTACGCGAGGGGAGCAGCGTGTGCGACAACGGGAGCAGCGTATGCGACGGGGGCGGCGTGAGCGACGGGAGCGGCGTATGCGACGGGGGCGGCGTGTGCGACGGGAGCAGCGTATGCGACGGGGGCGGCGTGAGCGACCACAGGAGCGGCGTGCGCGACCAGGGCGGGGTCCTTGCGGACGATGGCGTTAAAGCCGGAGTGAGCGTCAGCAGCGTAGTCGACGGTGCGCTTGCTGCCATCAGATTCGAGCAGGGAGTACTGGCCCACCACGCTGTCTCCGATGCGGGTCTCGTGCTGGCTCTTAACATCGCCGGTGTGCGGGTCCGACACGCCGTACGAGAAACTGGTGTAGTCGGCGCCGTGCAGCGCGCTGCCGTGCGCGGCGGCCACCAGCATAGCGACAATCACGAACTGCAAAATGTAAAAGATTTTTTTTTAATCTTAGCAAACGGTACATCAGGCAAGAATTAATGATTAGGACTTCTACTTTTTTATATAAAAGAAAGGATGTTGGTGCAATCCATAGTAATTTTGTTGAGGTGACGATACGAGAATAGCTTCAAATAATTTTGCATTTTTTTATAATACTAGCTGACCCGGCGAACTTCGTACCGCCTTAGCGTAGCTTTGATGCACTACTTTATTTTGTATAGCTGACCTATCTTATGTATGAGCACCTATTAATTTTTTTTATTTTTCTTTATATTTTTTCCGTAAGAACCTTGTACAGAGTATTAGAAAACTACAAAAATAAAATCAGCCAAATCGGTCAAGCCGTTTTCATGTTATGTCGTGACAACGGAAAACGGGTTTAATTTTTATATATATAGATAGCACTCTTTACCTTAGCTGCCATTTCGTAGGGTTTAGTTGAACAGTAAACTGTGAATGATATGCTCTAGAGTGGGCCGTTGCTTTAAATATGATTGTAAAGCGTCATACCGTACCGCAGGAGGAAATAAGAGACGGCACTGACCGTTCTAGGTCACTCGGGGTGTGGTTTTTAGTTTAGTACAATTTCGTAAGTCAATAATATTAGTACCAAAGCTATATAAAATAGTTAATTGATGAATTGATTGCACTAATTTGTTAGATAAAATCCACCTTAAGGTTCCTCGTCCCTCCTCACGGTCTAAGAGTACATTTTATGTCCCGCCATATCGCACAAATTACACAAAAAACTCTTATTTGAGGCGATCACTTGATTTTTATAACAAAACCTGACCAATATTGTCATTTTTTCAAGTACCTACTTATAATAATTACAGAAAACTGGTTCGCGAGATATTGTACTAGTAGATTGTAAAGATTTTGAAACATTTTGTAAACAGTAACTAAGAAGTTTCTCATAGACTCAATTTGTTTAAACATAATATTAATTTAAGTTATGGTACTATAGGTCTAGTCATACATTATTTAATTTAAGCAAATATTACTGTTAGAGACCGTTTGTTACCTAAATCAATATAATAAATAAAAAATAAAATTATATTTAATGTATGTTTATTTAAACTTCTTATCGTTTGATTGAAGCCCCGATGTTCTATAAAGTTTAAGTTGGTTGAGATCAGCGGCTGTATCATTTAAGTGCTAACCCATAAATACGTCTCATATTTTTGTTCTCTTGCACAACAATAATTTAATAAAACACTTATTGAATGGCTGTAAAGCGCAATCTAATAACTTTTTCCGTCCACTGACCCTTAAAGGCTCAGTGGTCCCAAAACTGCCCTGCTTTTAGAAACTTAATAGCTCTAGTTTAAGAAAAAATATTTGTCTTACTCTGGTCCACCGCAGGGAGACCAATCATTAATCTGTGACCTCTAGTACTAATAAAACTTCAAAGGGACTCTTATTGGATATAATGATTAATATTAAAATTGACAATGCACATTTCAGGGTTTCGTCTTCCGTCCGAGTAATAAACTTGTTTTTTTTTATAGCTAGATAGGAAAATGACTCTACCCCGCCTCATGTTAAGTGGTGATAAAGTCCAAACACGAAATTCTTAACTAAATTAATTTAGACAAGGAGGAGCACAACGCATTAGTCGCTTAAATTTGAACTCGCGTGAAAGTATGAGATTGTTACTAATATTAAGGGTGGAGCTCGATGGCGCAGGTGGTTAGCGCGTTCGGCTGCGATCGTTGAAGTTAAGCAACTTTCGCAGTGGTCGGTCATTGGATGGGTGACCAAAAATCTTCTATCTCGAGTTCCTCCATGATTCGGAAGGCACGTTAAGCCGTTAGTCCCGCCGTTAGATGCAGCCGTTAGCATCCGCACTGGGCCCGCGTGGTGGGTCATGGCCCAATCTCCCCATTCCATTGTTACGGAAGGGCTGTGCCCAGCAGTGGAGACATTAATAGGCTGTCGATGATTAAGGGTTAAAGTTTGGAATTTTCGAATTGTACTATCTAATTTAAACTCGTTTATTTCTATAAATATAACATATAAATTTTATCAATATATTTACATCCTTTATCTATACATTGTTGCCATCTAATCGGAATTTATACCTTTGCTATTAAACTCTAGGGATCCAAGTTCGATAAACTGTGGGAAATTACATTGAACTAGCTCTTGCGAAGAAAATTCTTTACCTCGTACAAAATTGGCTAAATCACTAAAGAAATGGTACCTACTCGTAGTCTATATGCCATACATTGCTTCAACAGTAAGGTATGGCAATTATGGAGTATGCCGTGTGGTTTCTAAGTATATAGTTTAGGTTTATTTCATCCACAGTAAAAATTTTCTATAATTAAATCCCAGACAATAAAATAACCATTTGACACATTGGCTGTGTTGCCGACCTCTTTTATAGATTTAGTTTTTATGGTTTTTTAAGTGTTTTTAAAGTATTGACATTTTTATGATTTTTGCTATCAAAATTGTTATTGTGTGTGTAAATATTGTTTGTGTTTTACTATAAAATCGTGTTAATAAACCCATTGCGTTCTGAATCCTAGCCATCATATTCCATCCCACTAGCTCTCCGCTTCAGGCTGTGTATTTGACGTGACATTATCTTAAGTTAAATTTTACTAACCATGTAACAACAGGGACACCTTAGACTTTAATATGACATGGCATGACAGTGATAGCCTAAGTAGACGAGGGATTTTTGTCCTCTGAAATATATCGCTTACAACATACCGTGGACAAAAAGTCCCCCGAAGTACCTCGGACACCGAGGAACAGGACAGGACAATAGTACACAAGAGTCCTCGTAACCAATAGAAATATTACAAGAGGCGATAACGCACACTCTGTTCCGCGTTCCGAGTTCGAGAGTAATGTTACGTATGCATATGACGTATCAAATCGATTGTAAATATTTAATAAAAGAACAGGGAAAAGGAATTCCAATATATGATACGTCAAAAAAGAGAATCACGACCGAAAGGACAATGGCAAGATATTTGTTGTTGGAATTCTTTAGCGTCTACAGATTTCATCAACTGAAATGCAAAAAAACATATCGTAATGGATTTATCAAATAATTGAGGAGGGTTTTCAAAGAATTAAAAACTTAAAATAAACGAAGCACAATTGAGTAATCAATAAGTTATCACATTTTTTTAATTGTAGCTTACCGTCATTTCTTCTGGGCCTACTAAGTATTATTAAGTGATTTCAGTAACTAAATTGTCAAAGGAAATTCAGGTCATTGGATGGGTGACCAAAAATCTTCTATACCGAGTTCCTCCTTGCTTCGGAAGGCACGTCAAGGTGTTGGTCCCGGCTGCATCTGCAGTCGTAAGCACCCGCCAATCCTCATTGGGCCCGCGTGATGGGTCAAGGCCCAATCTCTCTATTTCATCCATAGGGAAGGCTTGTGCCCCAGCAGTGGGGACATTAATAGGCTGATGATGATGATGAAAGTATTAGGTATTTGTTAATAATTTTCGTGACCGAAAAACGCTTATGACCTGCTCGTATGTCCCCTTTATCTCCTTATCCTTGATCAAAATCAGTGTACTATTTGTTACCAAACAGACAGGCACATTGCAAAACATCTTTTTTACATTAATTTTTCACGCAAGAACGTCAATTCATATACAGTTTGATTAAAGTTGGTGATGTTACAATAGACTAAAGCAGTGTTTCCTAACCTTACCAATACAGCTACCCCTGTAACCTATTAGGAAAACAGATTTTACCCCGACTTTAAAATGTTATCATCAGTCCAAGAAATTCCAATTTGGCCGCTACATTTTCGTCTTCAATGATGTCATCATCAGGAGAAAATCTCGCCCCGCTTCCCACACTCAGCACCCCGCGGGCTCGCTAGCAAGGAGCGCATGCTCTATTTAGTAGTATTGTTATATAGTATTTTCTTATTATTTAGATTTGACCAAATAATGGTTCTTTGCTACCCCCGAAGTATGGCTAATTACCCCTAGGTTCGGAAGCCAGGGACTAAAGGAACACGTAAATAAAAGTACCTGAAGAATCTGAGTATGGGCGTTTGAAATGATATCAAAAGACGAAAGAGATGACGATATCGATACACGCTGCCTTGGCAAGGCCAATAGGAGAAAGGTTTAATCAATCAAAATCATTTATTCAGTTTAGGCTGTTACAAGCACTCATGAATGTCTACAAGCTCCGCCATGGGTTCGTAAATCTACTGCGGGAGACCTTGTACTGAGAAGAACCGGCAAGAAACTCAGCAAGGGCTGTTTTTTTTCGGCCTGTTTTATTATTTACAGAGTCGTCAAATTGAAAAATGACTTCAGAGATAATTCATGAAGTCACCTTTAATTACATAATAGGGATGATGACTATTTTTTTTTCTTCGCTTATCAGGAAGATTGTCAAAAAGTATTGGACACGTATTTTTTCTTTTTTCACATAATATAAAGATTGCAGAGATATATTGATTTGAAAAGTCGCATGACGTCACGTTTGAGTACACTTATAAGTGAAAATTCACTCAAAAGTGACGTCACGAGCCCCTACTCCCAAACTTTGACGCGCTATAACTTTGTCATTTTTTGGTTGATTGCCCAAAGAAAAAATATGTGTCCATTATTTTTTGATCATCTAACTGACGGACTAAATAGAATATCGTTTACTGTACCCCGTCATCATCCCTATTATTAAATATACATTAATTGTGTACCTGCATTTTCATTGCTGTGTCATACAGTATAAATACAAATAGTGTTATTTATATTAAGTGTGACTAAACATTAACTTCAATATTATGGAAGTTTGGGCAGACTCATCTCGACATCTCCGCTGGCAGCACCCGTTCACGAGCGTGACGCATGAACCAGCCATCGCTTCGCTATAATTTTTGTCTTCTCATTCTACTTAGTTCTCCAAAAATAATGAAGGTAATGAAGACATTTTCAGGTTAGTTCGGAGATTACACACATTTAAAAATAGTGTAGTAAAGATTCTGGCTCAGTGTTCGGAGACGTGACGGGTTGAAACTTTAATTCACCGATCATGTGCAAGACGCTGGTGCTGCACGTTACGTTCTAATTAGCTTGACGTATAATTATAAAATAGATAATAAATAAATAAATATTTCCAACAGTGTTTGTATTTTATAGGATGTAATTTATTATTGAAGAATGAAGAAATTACTGAGTATACCTCACCTGTTATCAAATCATACAAAGTATTTTTAATAATAAGGTTGTGAAAACAAGTTCATGTTGGTTTTGTCGATTAACCATACTAAAATAAAAAAAAATACTAATAAACTAGTATTATTGTAAATGGGTGCTCAGCATTATGCGGGAAACAATATTAAGAAAACTTTTACCTCTTTAGACCAAAAAAAACTTTTCCAAACTTTTGAGAAATGCGACTCATCATATTGGGTAGTATTCATGGTCTGTAACATACTCCGACTTGTTCCGTTTGTGGTGGGTCAAGGATCCAAAAAGAACCTATTTACCTGTTTTATTCATTTAACTACATTTAAAAATACGATAAAATTATTTTAATAGTTTTTATTTCGTTTCATCACAGCATTTAAGTCATCATCTTTTGACTTCCGTCAGATTTTACTATAGTTTTATAAATACAGAAATATTATTATCTAATAGTATTTGGCGTATCCGAGGGGAGAGCCATAGAGACCGTGAGCACCGAGTCCGGCGTAGGATACACCGTGAGCGAGGCGAGCGGCGTACGCGAGGGGAGCAGCGTGTGCGGCAACGGGAGCGGCGTATGCGACGGGGGCGGAGTGTGCGACGGGAGCGACGTATGCGACGGGGGCGGCGTGTGCGACGGGAGCGGCGTATGCGACGGGGGCGGCGTATGCGACAGGGGCGGCGTGTGCGACCACGGGAGCGGCGTGTGCGACCAGGGCGGGGTCCTTGCGGACGATGGCGTTGAAGCCGGAGTGAGCGTCGGCAGCGTAGTCGACGGTGCGCTTGCTGCCATCAGATTCGAGCAGGGAGTACTGGCCCACCACGCTGTCTCCGATGCGGGTCTCGTGCTGGCTCTTAACGTCGCCGGTGTGCGGGTCCGACACGCCGTACGAGAAGCTGGTGTAGTCGGCGCCGTGCAGCGCGCTGCCGTGCGCGGCGGCCACCAGCATAGCGACAATTATGAACTGTAGAATGAAAAAGAAATATTCCTTTATATCTTAGCAAACGGTACATCAGGCAGGTTTTTTATAAAAAAGAAAAGCTGTTGGTGCAATCCATAGTAATTTTATCGAGGTAACGATACGAGTGTAGCTTCAAATAATTTTGCATTTTTTTATAATATAGCACTGTTTACCTTAGCTGCCATTTCGTTGGGTTTAGTTGAACAGTAATCTGTGAATGATATGCTCTAGAGTGGGCCGTCGCTTTAAATATGATTGTAAAAGCGTCATACCGTACCGATATTAACACAAGATCACCCAACTTGGACATTTTTGACGTTCCGCAGGAAAAAATTAAAGCAACATTGTTTGAGCTGCTCGATTCTCATTAATTCCTCATTATTATAGTTATTATTAATATTTTTTGTATCAATTTGACATTACATTAGTATTTTTTGCATCAATTTGACATACATTATTAATTTGAAATCAAACATAGATTATTAATTGCACTATTTTGTATTGATTATTGATTATTAATTCCATTTATTATTATTGATTATTAATTACATTGTACTTTTCTCAATTGAATGTTGTGTGTGCTTGTAAAGGCTTGCATATATATCTTAGAATAAGTATTATTTTAATTTTTTAATGTTTTCATATGTTTAGCTGTAAGTACACCTATTAAATAAATAAATAAATGACTGGAGAACAAATGCTCGTATTCATCACACAAACATCTGCCCCCACTAGGATTCGAATCCGGGACCTCTCGAGTCGGCGACACCATGAAACCCGACGTACAAACCACTCGGCCACGGAGATCGTCAAAATAAAGTATTTTATTAACTAAATTAACTATATAATAAATTCATACATAGACAATAATTTTTTTAAAATCTTCCAATGAAATATCCGAACGCTCATTAAAAGTCTTTCGAAGGTAGCTCGACAAAGTAAATAAAAAAGAACATTATTCTAACGATGCAGAACTGAAAAAGCTGCGAAACGTCAATAAATAAATAAAGTTCGTGCATTAACCCGTTAAAACTAGTTTTATTTAATGAGTGATGTGCGTGAAAACCTAAGAAACCAATCCAAACCAAAATAATTTATTTAAACAGAATATTTTCCCTTTTTATCTACATATAGTTGCCATCTAATCAGAAGATCATTTATCGAGTCTGCGATTGAACTCTGCGGATTTCTTTTAAACGAGGTGTCATTTATTGGGCTTACCAACCAGCCCACTTGATATTAAGTGTGGGTGAGAGTCCAGTGTCGTAGATGATGCGGCAGAAAGTATGCCGCTCCAGCCATCCTCACCTAGCCGGCCTGTACCCGAACCTAACTTACCAGCAGAAACAGAAGACCACCAAAAGACAAAAATATTTTACAGTGGTTTTCTGTAAGGTGGGGATTACTAACCCAGTTGGGCGCTCCATTTCGAGCGGGTAATTCGCTGTGCCCTCTCTTAAAACCTAATACAACTCACTTAATCGCCTACGTAACTTTTTGCCGACCAGTACTAAAATCACTCTGGCGCATACTCTTTTACTCTCCATTCTGGACTATGCTGATGTATGTTACACTGATCTTTCTGAGGAACTGCTAAGCAAGTTGGAACGTTTGCAGAATATAGCTATCAGATTTATAAATAATCTCCGTAAATTTGACCATGTATCACACTTCCGCTCGAAACTCAACTGGCTCCCTATTCGCCGGCGCAGGGACTTGCATACTCTTACGCTTCTTTATTCTGTACTTTTCCTACCTACTTCTCTACCTTATCTAAAACAATGCTTCTCTTTTCGATCATCCTCTTCACAATGCATTCTACGCTCCTCTTCTAATCTCACTCTAGAAATACCTTGCCATTCGACTGATTTCCTTTCTTACTCCTACTCTGTGCATTCTGTTCGCTTGTGGAATTCATTACCGGAATCCATACGAAGGGCTGGCACTCTGGACTCGTTCCGTGAGCAAGTTAAGCGTCATTTCCTATCTTTACTTTGAAAGTACCTCTTTCCTTTATTTATTTGTTTATTTTTTATTTTTTTCATATAAATATGCATCTATATTATTATTACCGTTTTTATTTTATAATATTGCTCTTGAACAAAAAAAGGGGAAAGGGTGTCCCCCTTTTTTTGTTCTTTATACTTATTTAATTTTCCGTCATGGGTTGCCTGGAAGAGATTGCTATTAAGCAATAAGGCCGCCCATTGTGTAATGTCTCTCTGTCAGTGTAATCTTACTGTTATGTCCATTGTGGTGTTATACAATAAAGAATATTATTATTATTATCTAAATTCGACAAACTGTGCGAAAGCATTTTTTACTGCCTCTTGGGAAGAAAATTCTTTACCGTTGGAGCAAGGTCAGGTAAGCACGGATATTGACGTATAGTTTCTTATTTTAACTCTTGCAAAGTTACAACAGCTTCTTGTTATTGACTGACAGATGACAGTTTAAACTATTTTAAATTAGTATTAATAGGTTTAAATTTTATTTACTTGTTTGTGATCGGTTGTGTAAAAAAACATTTCACTTTTTTCTCACATTGTATCTATGGATATCACAACTGGACATTGGCGAAATTTCTGTGTAAAACGGAGAATGCCACAGAAATAAGAAAAAAACATGGATATGACAGTGACATTTAATCCCCTTGGTACACAGCTTTTTAGCCAACCCTTTCAGTAATTGGTGTTGATTTTGATATGATTCTCTAAACCTTAACTTAAATTTGACAATAGTGTGTCATTGTCATTATCTATATAGAATGTAATGGAGGGACTGTTGTTAAAATTTCTAAGTTTAGAGATCCATGCCAGAATTTAAAATATGTATTTTGACGGGCTTGTAAATATAATATTTTGTGATAGTCAAGCTTTTGCTGATCATTCAACCTCAATAATAACCTAATATTGACCCGACACTGTATCGATTGTAAAGAAATTATACGATCCGATTTTTTTTTTATTGGAATATACCTACCTAAACTTAGTGTAAAGTCATTGAGGTAAAAACGTTTTCACTCCAACTTTAGTCAATGCTACTTGTTATAGAATAGTTCCCCGCACAAACGTAGGTCCTTTACTTTCTCATTTGTAAGTTATACTTCGGTACTAGAAAGAAGCCTATATTTTGCTTGTAGGTTCCCTTTATCTTCATATCCTTGATCAAATCATTGTAGCATTAAATATAGAGGCACACCATTTCCAAACACCAGTGTTTCATTAATTTCCTACTCAAAGACATCAATTCTTTTGATTAAAGTTAGTAGTGATACAATAGACCTAGAGAACTCTTGACTTAAATCTGAAAAATCTGGGAATCGTTGTTCGAAATGATATCAAAAGATCCAATGACATCGTCACACGTTGCCTTGACAAGCCCGATAGGAGAAAACTTTTCTTTGTTTGTCACAGATTTGTATCTGATTCTTCTCATCCTACTGAGCTCTCCAAAAATAATGCAGAGTTGTAAATATTATTGAGATTGCTCATTAACTAGCATGATTGGAAATAGGTGCTTAAAATGAAGATGGGAACAAGATATAAAAGCTTTACGCAGTTATAAGCTTAAAAAATAAAAATTATAAATTTAAAAGTATGTCAATTATTCTTAGGGCAAAAATAACTTTTCCATACTTTTGAGGAATGTGACTCATCGCATTGAATATTCATGGTGTTTATCATATTCCGACTAATTTCATTACTGTTCCCTGGTGGGTCGCAGGTCTAAAAAAATCCATTTGTTTACCTTTTAAATCCTAATAACTACATTTTAAAACACGATCAAATTATTTAAATAGTTTTTATTTCATTTCATCACAGCATTTAAGTCGTCATCTTTGGACTTCGGTCATATTTCACCACAGTTTTATAAATACAGAAATATTATTATCTAATAGTATTTGGCGTATCCGAGGGGAGAGCCATAGAGACCGTGAGCACCGTGTCCGGCGTAGGATACACCGTGAGCGAGGGGAGCGGCGTAGGCGGCCACCGGGGCGGCGGCGTAACCGCCGTGAGCGAGGGAGGTGGAGTACGCAGACACGGAGGAGACAGCGGGGGCGGCGTGCGCGGCGTACGCGGCGACGGGAGCGGCGTACGCGAGGGGAGCAGCGTGTGCGGCAACGGGAGCGGCGTATGCGACGGGGGCGGCGTGAGCGACGGGAGCGGCGTATGCGACGGGGGCGGCGTGTGCGACGGGAGCAGCGTATGCGACGGGGGCGGCGTGAGCGACCACGGGAGCGGCGTGCGCGACCAGGGCGGGGTCCTTGCGGACGATGGCGTTGAAGCCGGAGTGAGCGTCGGCAGCGTAGTCGACGGTGCGCTTGCTGCCATCAGATTCGAGCAGGGAGTACTGGCCCACCACGCTGTCTCCGATGCGGGTCTCGTGCTGGCTCTTAACATCGCCGGTGTGCGGGTCCGATTCGCCGTACGAGAAACTGGTGTAGTCGGCGCCGTGCAGCGCGCTGCCGTGCGCGGCGGCCACCAGCATAGCGACAATCACGAACTGCAAAATGTAAAAGTTTTTTTTTTAATCTTAGCAAACGGTACATCAGGCAAGAATTAATGATTAGGACTTCTACTTTTTTATATAAAAGAAAGGATGTTGGTGCAATCCATAGTAATTTTGTTGAGGTGACGATACGAGAATAGCTTCAAATAATTTTGCATTTTTTTATAATACTAGCTGACCCGGCGAACTTCGTACCGCCTTAGCGTAGCTTTGATGCACTACTTTATTTTGTATAGCTGACCTATCTTATGTATGAGCACCTATCATTTTTTTTTATTTTTCTTTATATTTTTTTCCGTAGGAACCTTGTACAGAGTATTAGAAAACTACAAAAAAAAATCAGCCAAATCGGTCAAGCCGTTTTCATGTTATGTCGTGACAACGGAAAACGGGTTTAATTTTTATATATATAGATAGCACTCTTTACCTTAGCTGCCATTTCGTAGGGTTTAGTTGAACAGTAAACTGTGAATGATATGCTCTAGAGTGGGCAGTTGCTTTAAATATGATTGTAAAAGCGTCATACCGTACCGCAGGAGGAAATAAGAGACGGCACAGACCGTTCTAGGTCACTCGGGGTGGGGTTTTTAGTTTAGTACAATTTCGTATGTCAATAATATTAATACCAAAGCTATATAAAATAGTTAATTGCCGAATTGATAGCACTAATTTGTTAGATAAAATCCACCTTAAGA